AATACTTATTCGATAATGATCTAACGTAAGTTTAATCACAGATTTGTCGTTACACTCGTAACGGTTAAAAACCGAGTCATTAAAGAGAGTTTGAATACCAGGCGTAGATATTCCATCTCGTTGGGTGGTCCGTTGAGCCGGACCGTTCATGAATGATTTAACGAGGGCCTCTCCCCAACCGAAAATCCAATCCAATCCAATCCAATCGTCATCATCGGTAGCAGTTACAAACTACTGCGCCGCGCGTTGCGTCACGCGACGGAATGCGAGAGGTCGACCTTGCAGTTGTGAATCGCACAATCGCGCATTGTGAACCGTTGAATAGTCTTCTTCGCGATTCCATCGCGTGGCTCCGAGATTCTCGTTGATTGCCAGAACCGACCGTGACGAAGTTTTCATATCGGATCACCTTAGAACCAGTTAAGTTCGCTGTTCTGTTCAGTTTGTAAATTTTGAGGGTAAAGCATTCTTAGTAGTTGTAGTTGTCAGATATAAAAAGGGTCCTACGCAATTTCCTTCTAACTCCACTTGTTAAGAAGTATTTGACGCTGGACGAGGTAACTAATCGATTGAAAAATGTAATGTCGAAGAAAATTGTATACGACCTTTTTTGCACATAACAGCAGTATCCAGAACTTTTATTTGAAGCATTTTTCGAAACACAATTCCATTGACAACATAAGATACGTATACAATCATTGTGATATCACTCGTCTCGGATAAAATTAACTTTGTTCTCCAGCGAAGATATTACACTAATATCAGAAGTTCTCATGTTCTGCAATCGACTTACAAATCTTTTTGAAACAAATGTATGAAATTGTTCAGAGGAGAAGCATATTTCAAATAGTAACCATTAACTCTTTCAATTTCACCCTGTGAGCCAATATATCGTTTTCCAAATAGAAAAACTTTGACAATAGCTAACTACCTTCAAAAAAAGGAGTTCACTCATTTCACTAGTGAAGACGTATCAATTCGCTGTGGCAGCAGCCGTTTCGGTTTGATAAAAAGTCTGCGATTGTTACCCGAATCGTTCCCGCCTCTTCAATGGGTCGCCGACAATCGCACCCTCTCTCAATTCATTGCGCCCCGGGTAAGGATCGATCGATCCCGGCTAGAACCGTGATCCGGGATCGACGACCGATCGAGAAAAAGGTTTCGCGTGCTCCGATTCATTAAATAATGACTCCGTCCCTTAGTTTAAACGAGTTTCGTTGCACGCGGGGTATGTTTTTCTTCTGGTTCTTGTTTCGTTCGTTTCAATTTCAATTGATCTTTCGTCGGTACCAGGGAGCTTTGTGCCCTCTCGAATCGCCGCTCTGTGCTGCACAAAAGATGCGTTTCTCGCGCCGCACGGGGTCCAAGTCTGCAGCTGCAATCGGAAAAAGGGGTACGATGCTCACATACCCATTCGCGCTCCACTTTCTTTGAGGGTGTATCTGACATTTCTCACTGATATTAAGTCTGACATTAATCAAATTATTAAGTACTTGCCAATTAAAATACGTGTAAACAAATGATTGACTTATATTATGGAAATAAAATCAGTTGTTAATTTTTCTGGCTCTCCCATTTATGGAAGAATAAAAATGTCCTTGATTAATCACATTAAGTTATAAAATTCCTTAAATATGTGCACAATTATTAAACGTGTCAAGTATACAATAATGTACAACAGTTGTACTATGGGACATTCTTAAAGCGCAACTTTTACGAAGAAACATTCGTCTCGTCCTCTCTTCTTGTTAAAATAAAAAGAAGCCGTCTCCCTTTTGTGCACTGTTTCTTTGTCGAACAGCATTGAATTTGTGTCACGGGTCGTCGGCGAAGAAAGCGTCCATTCACCCACGACACGTGCGTCGTCGTCTTTCTCGACATCGTACGGGGACCAGTATTCTCTTCCCTTTTCATGCGCATGTAACTGGATTTTCGAGATGCGACCACCGTTGATTTTTTTTCACCGGAAGGTGTCACGCGATTTTTCACTAAAGGCCTAAAGTAGCAGCTGTCGCTTTAGCAACACGCGTCCGTTTAAATTTTAATTAAAACAGTCTCTGTCTTAATAATAATCGACGTACGAATCAGATAATCCTAATTCTTCTGCAGTGATTCTTCTCTACTTCTGTATAGTCTTTGAATTACAGTGTCATTATTTTCGTTTGGAAGCAGTTTATCGTTGGTTTCTAGCTTTCAAGAGCGAAATTCGCATGAGAATTTTATGATTTGTAATAAAGGCGAACGCGAAGGTACGAGAATAGAATTATTAACGCTGGGCTATAAATTAACTTCGGGACCGGTTAACAAACGAGCAGTAGGCGGCGGTACATGCGATAAATGTCGCGAGGTGAAGCTTAACGGGTCGTAAAGCATCGGGATTGGGCGTTAATTTCGTCGAGTGGGCTTACATCTTACTCTTCACGGTGATAAGTATGATAGGCTCCAGGGAGATAAGTGTTCTCCCATGCACAGGTGTTAAACGTCACATAGCATCGTGTAACATTATACTATCATCACAGGATTACAATATCATATAATATGTCATTGTAATACAGAGTATTCCAGTATTGATGGTACATCCAACTCATTGTATTTTGGCCGGAAATAAATACAAATACGCATCGCTAATAATGGACCACGGCTGGCGATTCTAAAATACGAAAACCTGTGAACGTTGCTTTCGGTCATACTCGGTAAAACTACCGAATCGATCAAAGCTTCATTGTGGTTTTAAAAATTCTTAGTATGCAGTTAGCGATGTGTCGGTAGTGATGGGTCACAATACGATGAGTTCAATGTACAATGGAAAGGATGATTCTGCATGAGAAAATAAGCCGAAGCATACGTTTAAGTAGCAGTAGTCAAAAGTTAAAGCGAAATAAAAAGAGAAGTAAGCAATTTTTGAAAGTTGATGCCCAATTAACGAAACTGGTTCTTAGATAAAAGGTTATCGACATGAGCGGAAGCCAGATCCAATCTCGTCGTATCATATTTTCTGTCAAAATAAGCAACCTCATGTTGGCAGCTGCAGTATAGCCAATCAAAATATATACATGCATCTGGTACATGTACACTGGTGGATTTTAATGCATCGGATCTTCGCATTATTATCGTTCTATTTGTCTTATTGAATATTTAAAACACATTTAAACGAATACAAATTGGAGTACTGTATTGAAAGTGTACTCTACAAGGCTTGTATTTAATACTACATATTCAATATAATCAAAATTTTTCGCTTTAATTTATTCGAAGAAAGAAGAGTATTATAACTCAACAGACTCCTATAATCGTAGATACTGTTGTGTACTGTTAAGTTTCAATTTCCAATTAGACAAGATATTTCCCTTAAAGCGAAGACAACGCACATTGTCATATAGATTTAGATGGAAGTTTGTAAGCAAGGGGGAGCAATTAATTTCAAATGAAATTCAGCAAGCATGCCCTTGCAAGCAGAGGTAAAGATTGTTAGTCGCAAGAAACGAACGAATTCTCGTTGTCCCGAAGGCTGAAGGGGCTCAGGTAACTCGAGACTCTTGTGCCAGGAGGAGCGTCCAAACCGCTGACCGTAAACAGAGAGCAAAGGTCCCGGGGTCCCGCGGCCCCTTACAAGGGCGTTAATTATGGGGCTGTTCTCGTTTCTTAATCCCCCTCGCCTCTGTGCTCAATTTCCGTTGCGAGCAGCTTGCTAGAAGAAGAAGGACGAGGCTGAGTTAAGCACCAGCAGCAGCATGGAGTACTTAACTCGGATTAAATGGAAGAAATCATGCTAAGAATGTATACACTGGAGCGACTTTTAAATCACTCGGCCAATGCGAACCTGCATGTTTAAAACGTTTAACGTTTGGCACTTATTGTTCGACCTGCGGTTTTGGGGTTCACCTCGACGGATTTAAAGCTCATAGGGAGAAATAATTGAGAAGCGAAATCGATTTGAAACGCTTATTGCTTGATAGCTACATCATTAAATCAATTCATACTTAGAATGTATTCTTTTCGAATGCATGACAGGAGGTATGGAAATATTAATATACGTAGAATAGGAAGATAAGATATAATAAATTAGTCGTCATCTTTATAAGGGGTTGACGCACTTGTAAATCAGCCGGTCAGGCTTTCAAAATAGCGTTTCTCGTATTCAAAAACGAGGAAGGGAATGCGGAGGCAGTTCGTGAACGCGATTAAAAGAGGTACTTCCGTTTCGAATAGACATCGGTGCTCGCATGCCACGAACTCGGTCATGGCATAGTCGGAGCAATGCATGGAGCTTCGTAATTTCAAGAACGACGATGACGACGAGCCATTGTGCGGTGTCTCGCTGGGGACCCATTCACGGGGCCCCCGTAATGGCAGCGTTCCATCGAAAACACGATGAAAACCGTACCACAATGACCGCTTCTGAGAGAGATTGTGTGCATAGTGTAGCACAGGTAGCCGCACGGTTTCCGTGAACAGAGGAATATCGATTGTTACCATTCACGAACTTGTTACTTGATACCTGCTGTTACCTTTCACTGTATCAAGTACAATAATCGCTGATTACATTATAAAAGAAGTTTGCTAACAGTCTACCAATTTTCAAAATGCTACGTATTACAATTCATTTATACTTGACTATTATGGGAACTGTAGCAATGCAACAATAGCAGACCTGTATGTAGCATTTATATTTACACTTGTTTCGAGATAATTATCGATATGATGATTATAATTATATTCGATCATGCTTCATAATTTTAAACATAGCATAGTAGATGTTATAAAATCTTAGAATAAAATAAATTGATATCTGTAGTAGACGAGATAGATTAAATATTCTAATGAATATATAATGAGCGTTCCAAAGTAAATTGTGTTTAATAGAATTTCGATGCACCCTCGTTGGCAACGAATTTCTATTTGAAAATAAAGTATGATAATTAACAGGTAACGGCCGTTTGGCCGGAAACGGACGAATTACCCTGTCGCTAAATTGCAAATGTTGCTTTTCTCTGTTTCAGACACGTCCTACGAGAAGGCTTGTCGAAGGGGTAGCGCGCCGGCCACCCCTGTCCTCGGAGCACGACCCCTGGACGTCACCCCCAACAGAATCGTCGTAAGTAGACCTATAATTTTCATCCACTGTAATTTGATAACGCGGTCTCCAATTCACCTTTTGTCCCACTTGAAAACATATGGAACAATAATTTTTTTCTAACTTTAATTGGTGTTATTTCAAGTATGATTTATGACAAGAAATTCACCCTCTTCTGTCTGAATTTATTCCTTTTTATGCATCAAGTTGTATGGCGAAGGGACAAAGTGTAACATTAAGATGCATAGAAAAATTAAACAATGAATATTAGATATTTATTTATGAATAATTACCGATGTGTTATATGAACTTTATTAAATGATATCAAAGACTAACGGTTATCAGGTATTGGATATCTGTTTTTGTATGCAACATATGGGATGAAGAACTTAAACATTTCTGTTTATTGGATGCAAGGAATGTTTGTCGAGCCGTTAATTGGCTAAATATTTCAGCGAATTATTTTATCGAAACCCGCGACGTCTAACAATTAACAGCTAAACCTTCCTAACGTTCCATCGTTGTCTGACATTCTAAGATCTCTCGATATGCTATCTTCCACGGTACCTAGATTCTTATCACGGGCGAATGCTTTCAACGAATCTGTCAATGCTGCGCCAAACTGCATTAGACTTACAGATGAAGTCCCGAATCGGGGCTCCAAGTTGATTTTATTTCTTTCAGCTCCTATCAGACTTTAAACATGTCTGAGTTTTCGAACAAGTAGAATGAAATATGTAATAAAGTGCTGCGAATATTAAATTAGTAAGAAGAATATAATATTAACAATTTTCTTTATAAATGCTTCAGTCTTTTACCAAAATTCGTAAAATGCTTATTATATATGCGTATTTTCATGTATATAAGAAATGATCAATCTCTAAGGATAAAAATGATGATCAATGCGATTTATTCTCAGAGCTTACAATACGTTGCTTCCGGTTAATACTGCGCGACGTTGGGTTGTTTCGTTTTCAAGGCACGAGGGTCGAGAATCGCGTTTCCCGATCACGTAGCCTTCGATCTTTCGAATCTTTCCACCGTCCAGTCTTTTCCTTTTATTCCTACAAACAAGCTACTTCTCGAACATCACGTTCATTGTGTTTCCTCAACACAATCTTCCTAGTACTCGGTGCACAGTTCTCGCTGTTGCTATGTATAAACGTGCGATTCGATTACAAACTATAAAACTACTATTAGAGTCGACGTCATTACGTTTGATCAAATTTCTTTTCGGTTAAAATCAGTTTAACATTTAATTCTAGCTTTGCTCAATCGAAGTTTCTTTTTAATAATATAAGTCAAATACAGAAAATATTTTGTAGGAGAATAACGTTTAACCAAAAGTTTAAAATCGTTTCGTTTAGTACTTATTTTGTGATGTAATATTCTAATACAAGTCAGTTCCGTTTTTAATAAAATCGAGTACAGGATACTTGCATAAAATATGAAAAGCTTCCAGAATTACTCGGAACGGTTGAGTCTCCCTCGAAAATCGATAGATGACACGGTATATAACGTTTAGAGTCGAGCGACATGTCGCAATTTCGCTCCTTTCCTCGTTTCACCGAGAAAAAGCCGGGCTACTCTTTTCTCGGCGTCACCTTTGCCCTTCGCTTCAATTTTCAATGCGTAAACCGACCCTGGATAGTCTCCCTCGCACCAAGAGAGATTCATAAGGCGGACATGAGCGACGACGCCTGTATGGAAAATATCGATCCGGTGTCGTCTTGGCGCAGGTGTTCTCAAATCTCACGCGCTAGATCGCTTTTCCTGGACCCATCGCAATAAGTATAGCGTAAGTAGTAGACGTCGGCTCCCAGGTGTCGCGTCTATTTAACATTAAACTCGCTCCCTCGACGCTGCACGATAGCAGGGTAAACAATAAGCGATGGAACGTGTAAAATTACTGCCAGGACTCGGTTGCCGTGTACCAGGCTGGGGTATTAACTTCCTAGGATGAAAGAGGAGGTTTAGGTAGCCTGTAGGTATCCGGTTGTTGCCTATAAAATGTGAATCTCAATGTTGTTCTATGCTTAAGTAAAAGTCAAACTGATTAACTAAAAACTTCCATTTATTAGATTAAACCGTATAAGGAATATGCAAATATTAAAGCGTTTGAAAATAATATCTTCGGGAGAAAAATAGATTATGATTTGGGTAATAATGTGAGTTTTATATGAGTTCGAAGCTTAACACACGAGTATAATAAATTAGATCACTTTGAGATATAATAAATGATAAAATTAAATTAAACTGGCGATCAGGTAAGGTGTGGGTAGTTTCCAATGCGTCCAGTTACTCGTGTAACAGTTTTGTTCTACCGTCGCGTCACGTAGATCGATAAAAACAACCCGGTAAAACTACAAGTTTGTTCAGGAATTCCTGTTTGCCTGCCGTGAATCATGATTGTTACTTCGTAACAGTTGCGTACGATTGTCCACTGTTGCCATCGTGTTGCCATAGTTTATTTATAATTCTATAGAATCCGGTTACGATGAATTTAATTAACAATTACATGAAGAAGTAGAACAGAACCATGTGTACCTTACACGATGTAAAAATTGTTTTGTACTGATATGAATTTTTGCCTGATAATATTTAATTCCGAATGATATGATATGCGTCTATGTAGATTATAGAATTATGTATTCTCCTTCTCGTTACATACCGATTTTCTAACGTGAAGCGGCAGCGAGTATTAAGCTTTATTTTCGATTGAGAATTTCTGCAGAGGAGGAGTGGAAGCGCGCGAATAATAAAGATACGAATCTTCGGATGTAACGTGAGCGAAGAAGGAACGCGACTCCTCGAACACGGCGATACGTTTGCCATTTAATTACTCGCCGTTTACGAGTTATTAACTACTAAAAAATTCTTTAATTACGACCTTGCAAAGAGACGGTAATAAAATCGATGACAAGAAAAGGAAATTGTCTCCGTGGTTGTTTCACCAACTTTACAGTTTTGTATGAAAGAATTAATTTGGAATGACAAACATATAATACTTTTTACAAATTGTGTGCGAATGCTATCCAGCGAAATCATTTTCTATTTTTTTTATAAATTATTCTAATCAAAGATAACAAACCGTAACTTTATTTTGCATAATGTCTTACTACATAAAGATACATTTACTAAAAGGAATTACTGGTAGAAGAGTAGGAAGGTAATGTTGTTAGGAAGAGAGCGGGGGTAGTCAAAGTGGAAGACACTTTTGCTCCTCGTCGTTAGTCAACACCCCTCGACGAGGGTTCAGCGAGGAAAAGAAAGAGAAGAAGCAAACTGGTTTTTCGGTGCACTGACGATATACATCGATCCGGTTAGAAGTTGTCTCGTTAGGAATTGTTTACGAAATCTTTCCCCTTTGCGTTTAAAGAGTAAGCTGCAGTATAAAATAAAGCATGACTTCAGCGATTTAGCGAGATAGCAGAAGTTTCGCCTGGTAAGAAATTGTGTCTTGCTTTCAATAAGAAGTTACCAATAATACCCCCCGGTCTCGGCTAGTTTGCGAATTTGCGTTATTGAATTTCTTTGTACGTTCCGCGATTAAACGACCACTTCGGAGGGGTTTCGTTTTAGTCCCTCTTTTTTCTTGTTTTTTAAATGCGAAGTGGTACATATGTATGTAGTAGGTAGTCGAGGATTTAAAGAGGAGCAATTTAACGACTGGAGAACGCGCGGCGTACGCTGGTAAATGGATTTTGTTTTTGCCGGCTACTTTTTCCTCGAGATCTTTGTCGCCCCGTTAAACGTCCGTGTATTCAATTGCAAATTTCAATTTCGAAATTCGTGATACGAACTATTTGTATCGAAAGCAATACTTCCAACTAATCTGAATTTACATCAATGTGAATACAGATAATAATTAAACGATCTCTAACATTTTTAAATTTGATACTGAAGCATGAATCATCAAAAATTTCTATTTAAATCATTTCAACTCTCCTATTTGGTAAGTGTGAGTGAAAAAACGCATTATCAGTGTGACATAAAAATTTGATAAGACCGTAATAAATTCATATACTATCGCAGAAAACGTGAACGTGGCGTGAAAGTGTAGTTACACATTTCCTCGTCCATGAGGAACATTCGTCACGAGCGCATCGCAGCTGGCATGGTTTGAGAACCCCTCGAAGACGTTTTTGTCCTTCTTAACGGTGGCGGACAGACGAGAGGGGCTCGGGGAGACCAAGACCGAGGGGTGATCCGTTTCGCCTCACCTGAATGTGCAGGGGCAGGGTTTTTGGTCTCGGTGCACAAAGGTGCGCGCCCCAAGGATCCCTTGACTTCGGCCTACCCGGATGAGCAACATCTGCGCCATCCAGTCGACGCCGAGATTTTGCCGCGAAATCTTCGCGCTCTTGCCTCGTCGAAACTTAAATCAGATGACGTGAACACTGTGTACTTTAAGAAACGTTTAAACAAAAATCATGAAAGTATTCCTGAAAATACTTCATTACAACATTAAAAATATTTAAGTGCATTGTTGATTAAGTTTAGTGTGTTCTAACAGAATAACTGTTCATCGAAAGATTTGTTTAATCAAATAAATTCTATATAATATTTACTTTTAGTATGACGTGCAACTATGAAAAAAATGATATAAAATATTCTATTACAAAGTTTATTAGACATTCTTCAAAATATTTCTCAAGTATCGATACGAGTTGAAGATTTGCAAAGCCTGTTAAGAAACAGGACTAATTAAAGCATGTTTTTGGAGGAAACAAGCATGAAGACGATCGATCTTGGACAAGATATAGCATAAGGGATTTTGAAACTGGAAAGAGATTTGGTAAAAGGGGAACAATTTCGCGCTAGACGAATGACGTGCAATAATTTATCGACGGACAGTAGCCGGTAAATAAGGGAGACGATTCGTGGCCAAATAAAGGAACATCAAAGAGGAGGCGAGAGAGGCGGACTGCCTCCTCTTCGAGGGTCGACGGCCTCTCGCGATCGACGAAAAGCGACGAGAGCGAAACGGCTTGCTGAAAATATCTTCACGTTTTCGCCGCCTGGCGACTCCTTCGTAGCCGTCTGCGAGACACGCGTGTGTCCAGAACCAGAGAGAGATTCAATTCTGATGTAAGTGCCACTATTCCTACTGACAAGTTTTGTGCGGTTCACCGTAGCCAACAGTGGATTGAATATTCAAGTTCAGGCGTGAAGTTCAAAGAGGAAGTGCAAAAATGGAAGGTACTGATGATTCCTTAAGATGATGCTTGTTGTAATCACATGTAATTTGATGAAGTGATATTTGATTTATTATTGGAACTTTTTCGGAATGCAAATGTATACGGGAAGAGTACATGCATACTCTGTAGTCAAAAAAATTTTATGAATGATGAAGACGATCCGTCAGTCGAGAACTTTTCATGAATCGCAGTTGCAAGTATTTCGTGATAAATACAACCGTTAATAACACGTCATACTGACCGCATATATTAAATAAATCACGTTGCAACGACTATCACGTATCAATCAAATTTCAATTAAAACCAAACGATTTATGTATTCAAAATTTTTCAACACTCGGGCAATCTTTACTTATGCGAAGACATAATTGTCCCGGATCGTTTGAAGAGCCTGGCCGATTTAAATCCCTCGGACAAGCTAAAGTCTGAAGAACAGCTACCTGGGTCTCGTTTTTGGATACCACGGACAGATACCTGAGAGCCCCCGGGCTGGAATCCCTGGCTCGTGCTTCCGCGTTTGAATAGAAATCACCGAGAGGCCATTGTGTCGGCTACAAAACTCGGACGATTCCGATGGTTAGTCGAAGGGAAACCGAAACGAACGCGGGAATCGTGAGTCGTTCGAGGAACTTCGACGAGTACAGTCTTATTCCTTCCTCCACTTTTATCGTTCCTCTGATTAAACAATTCTAACTTCAAGAAGAAAATAAAATTAATTCATAAATCTTGCACTAATAAATAAATCTTGCATTTTTTAAATCTGTAAAAAGGGGATTCCACTGTTTTAGTGCATTGATAATACTTTTGGTGTGTTTACGTTTTCCATTTGATAAAAGGTGCTTGCTTAAACCAGTAGCAATTGTAATTAATGGACCAGGAATGTGATGGGACGAAAAGAAGATTTATGAACGTCTCCCGTGAAAGTTTATAAGTATGTAGCGTGATAACGTTTGGTGACTCGGTCGCTTGATTAATTGACGCATTCCGTACGTTCAAGTGATGATTTATGAAAATTAGCACCGATGTTTGATAAACTTTTGACTTCGACAAAAGTCAGTTCCATTCGTCGGGCGTAATTAATAACACATCGTCCGTTAAATAATAATAAATAACATGTGATTCGTTCACAATTATCTAATCAATTACACATTCAGTCAATTGAATTAACATTTTAATAAAACATAAAGAAGACGATTTCCACCTATTTGCTATACACTCATAGTGGGGTCTAATAAAACTGATCAATGCGGCTGATCTAGATAAAAAGGACGGTCAACGTGATTTAGAGCAGGTCTTTCTAATCGCACTGTCAATAATTCGCGATCGATTCCGTGTTCAGAGACAAGGATTTGAGGGAACGTTCCCACCGTTCGGGATTGTTACTCGAAACCTCGGCCAGTGTTCTCCCGACCAACGAAACCGGTGACGCAGTCGGATTACGCTACATCCTGACATTGGACGGGCTTATCAGTATCGCACGTGCACGATAACACTTCATTTCTCCTCTCGGTGTTGTTGTGGCGCGCATTTCACTGGCACCTAACGGTTGTGACTGTTTCACTCGCAATCTCTCGTAGTAGAGTTGTTCCCGTGGCGAAGACAATAGAAAATAATAGTGCAATCGAAGAACGCAGTGTAGAATCTACAGAAAAATAATCAAAAGTGAGAATGAAGCGTGAACTATGACGAGTTAATTATAAGAGAATATTTACTAACGATCTTGCATTGTTATAAATAATAATGAGACAAGATTGATAATATTGTGGAGCGAAGATAAAAACTGACGATCAAGTGCAAGTTGTTTCAGAAATTGGAACAAAAATAAGCAGAAAACGAGGTGAAACCGTGCAGAAACGGCGAGTCACGGTGAAAACAGGCTGAGAAAGAGGACCGCGTGTCAGTGTCTGTAATATCGGCGAACATCTCTTGAGGAGAAATCGGTTCTCTCTCGTCGAGTGACTTGCATCACACGGAATCGTGACTGATAAGTGCAAAGTGCCAGCGTTCGAAAGAAATGAAGTATTGATCACCTTTTTCATCGTCCAACTATACTGCAGACGTTAAATGCACCGCAAATAGAACATTATCGATGAGTCAGTCGCGAAATAACGAGTTTGCAATAAATACGACTGCTAGATTATCTGGAGACAATCGTTGGTGTTATAAATATTGACAAAAATTACATATCATAGACNATCAAGCACTAAAAATTATAATTGAAAATTGTTAAATGTTAATATAAATCAAAAGCTCAGGAATTCTGCATATCTTGACTTTCGCAAAAAAATTAGTTCTGAAAAGTAGACTTTAAAGAAAGTCATCAGCGAGGAAGCAAAAATGATTTTGGAAGCGTGCCCTGATTTTGTACCGTCAAGGTGGGTCAGGTCAAAGAGACCAGAGTGAGGGTTCTTCTTTCCTGGTGGTGGAATCCACTTTGGAACATCTGCTGTTGTTTCTCACGCGCGCAACCACGGTTCACATGACCAGGAGAAAAATGTGCGTGAAACCGATGGAGGAGAGCGAGGATGACAGGGTTGTCAGCATGATCGTCAACTACTTCACCGCCAGGGTAAATATAGGCTTCAACGGATGACCGGGTTTCATGCATACGTTATTAAGGGGCGTTTGTTGCGTTTGTCGTTTAGGCGAAAAATTAACAAAATCTGCGAACATCATTCTATGTTCAAATGACAAAGTATATTCGTAGTAAAAATTGAAATACATTTGAAGGAGCGATCTTAACAAGGGGAAGGAGGATTAAGATGTACATACTATTTCATTTGAATTAATTATTCTATTATTAAGGACTGGAATACTATTCTACTCCTGATATCTTGAATGTCTAAATTCACCGTTAAGCTAACAGATAAAATTATAACATTCCTTTCTCCTAACTTTCTAGTAAAGTATTCATTTCCTTTTGCATAATCCTTTTTTTCTTATTCCTATCAGATCATTAGCATCTTTTCTCTGCCTCACACGTTCCAATTTATATCCGAAGATAATGGCTCGATTATATGTTTCATTAAATACCACGTTCAGAGATGTAATGGTTTCTGTTTGCGGTTTAGATGTAATTTTCGGTCTTAGGGACCGGATTGGTACATTATTGATACATGGGCTAATGTCTCCCGGTATCGAGAACCACGAGGTGGAATACCTTTCACTTGAGCAATGTCACGAGAGATTCTCGATATCTTCCGGAGAGTCAGTCGATGATTTTCACTCGTCGTACAGACAACTTTTGTTAACCAAACAGTCTCATCGCTGTTTTACAATTATTATTCCGAAATTGAATTAAATTAAAAATTGTGCCAATTCTTCTGTTAAGATTTGTAATCAATTTGTTCGTTCGTGAAAAATTCTATCGACAATTTGTGTTACCATTTCCAAGTTGAAATTGTGTATTCAGAAAGTGTTTGAACAAGTAAAAGGGGATGCAAACTGTTGTCGTCGCATCCGAACTTGTATTTCCTTTGGGATAAAGTTTCCCAAGTCGGTCGCGTGAAGCGTGAATTCAGGGAACTCGACTTCGAAGAGTACAGGTACATGTACATAGATATACGCGAGGGGGAAATTTTACTCGGTTCAGGAAGAAAAATGCAACGGAAAATTTGCAACGAAATAGCCACCCTCTGGGTGCAAATGAAGTTTCTCACGTTTTAAACGAAGTATGTGAGTAAACGAAGTATTAGAGTATCTTGCAATGGACAACATTAAATTCTCACCCTAAACATATAAAACAAATGACAACACAGTAACATGCACTATCATAGTAAGTAGGGTTTTGAGTGAACATCGATTCTCAAATATCATAAACCACAATTGTTGAACATCTGTGCGTCACATTTATCTATAAGCTAACCCTCTAATGCTTCGTCTGTTTCGCGTTAGCTTTCAAAAGTCGTAAAGCAGTTCCCAGAAGAGAAATAATAAAATTCTTTACAATGGTCATTGAACGAGGCACGTGTATGAAATAAATAGTTTTGCTTAACGACTTCAGTGTGTCCGTACAGAGATGCCAATTAGAACGGACACGAAAACGAATAAATAAATAATACGGCAGGATTTAGAAAATAAAAATGTAGATATTACTTTTTGTGTTCTAAACTTTCTAACAAGATGCATTTCATCAGCAAAGGGAACATATTGAACAGTTATATCATACATCAAAGTTGGAGTCGCGTTGCACCATAGACGGTCAATTAATCTTCGCGTAATTAATTTGATACGGAGAGAATGTTTGCTCGGGACGATCGCGAACACAGAAAAGTTGTTTCAGGAGAATCGTCAATCACGGCCTGACCACCGAATAATGAGAAATTGATTCGACGAGCCATTTCCAAGAAGTTGGCTTGTTAAAGGGAAATTAGTGGGACACAAAAGTATGCTTAAGACGGAATATTGGAGGGTCAAACATAAACGACGTCGGCACACATGTTTGAGATATTACAGAGGAATTCCATATATCATTTTCCACAATAATTTCTCTCTGTCTTTTTCGTTTATTTTACTACAGAAATAAAGTGATTAGATCACTACAATTTAAATCTAACGTTGCTATATCATCTACTTGCATTATCTACATATATTTAATTCATAAAAGAATGATACCTCGAAAAGTATATGATATTTCCACTTCATCATTTGGTGAATACATTGCCTGTTATAATTGTAGTAAATATAGCTAAATATACACCTCAGCAAGATTTCAAGTTATTCAGAAGTTGACTCAAGAAATTTTTGATCTTTCTCGTATAATGGAGTAATGGAGTTTACACGGTCATCTCTCGGTGTTTGCAGAACTTCTTCTCGAAGAGGTCGTTCCGGTCTAACCCGTTGAAGAGGACGAAGAGCGTGACGAAGCTCGAGCGACAAAAGCAACGCGGCGCCGGTCTTCGGGGTTGCCGTTCGCACGAGTCCCTACTTTGCGGACAGGCTGTGACCTCGATGGACCTCGCGGCCGTGACACCGCTCCATCCGAGCCTGCTCGGAAGACCTCACTGCTTCCAGGTCACACCCAGCACCGGCGGACCAAAGTATTTCAGTTGCAGGACCGCTCACGAACGGGACCAGTGGTTACACAGGTTGGTACCGTTCCTTTGACCCCTTCTTCTGTTTTTTCGTCTTGCTCTTCCTTCTACCTCGTTCCCAACTTTTTCCTCATCCTCCTTGAAAGGGAAGAAGAAGGAGGAGGAGGAGGTGGTAAAACTGTTACAGTGACGCAGACGAATGTGAACCGGCAGCTCGGTTTGATAAATGTCCCAGTCATCGCCAACGTTGAGTTTTGTGCCTCGGGTTTCAAGTAGTTGTGGATGTAATTGCAGCTGGCTTTAAGGGCATAACAGACGAAACAAGTTTTATCGATTTGTTATCTTGTCATCGTTTGTCAATTCATATGCACGTGTGTTGCCAATAATTGTACATCTTTCTAGATGTAAAGATATATATTATATTCTCTTAGATCAATATAGAGATTTCAAACTAGATTCTATACATGTATGGATGATCTTCATTAATAGCTCTTTCTCCAATTAATTTTTTAATGCTTTTCTATAAATATCGCTCAAATTAATAGATGAAATGAAAATTCCTTTATTATCATACCTAGTGTCCTAATTCAGTTTCACCTTTCACAGGTAATTATCTCTGAATATAATCGTGAATTACAACTCTTTGAACAGCTTAAGGAAATCCGTCCAACCGGACGCAGAGCAGACAAGGCGAACGGACAACTCGCTGCAGATTTGGCTGCTCGAGGCGAAGGGTGTACCGGCTAAGAAACGATATTTCTGCGAGGTCTGCCTGGACAGCACTTTATACGCGAGAACCACCGCGAAGCTGAAGGCCGACTTATGCTTCTGGGGCGAGCACTTCGATTTTCATCATTTACCATCCGTGAACACCATACAGGTAAACCTGTACAGAGAAGCCGATAGGAAGAAAAAAAGGGACAAGAATGTTTTGATCGGTGAGTTGTTTATCTTTTATTGTTGCAATTTATTAAATTGCATTAAGTGAGTTAATGTATTCATAGATAATGTACATGAATTATAAAATTATTGATACATTCATAGATAATGTTTTATGTGCAATTTATGTGATGAAAGTTCCGATATTGGAAGTTCGTAAATAAATCCAATAAATTTTATTATATAATTTTATAATAATTCTTTCAGGTTCCGTCAGTATACCAGTGCATAACGTGACTTCGCGATACCTAACAGAGAAATGGTATCCGGTGCAGGGCGACAAAGGTCCCCTGAAGGAACCACCGGCACTCAGGGTGAAGTGTCGTTTCCAGTCGGTGGACATATTACCCGTTCAGGTGTACCAGGAATTCCTCGAGTATCTCAAGACGGATTACGCGTCCTTGTGCGAGAAATTGGAGCCGATAATCACCGTCAAAGCGAAAGAGGACATCGCGACAGCATTGGTCGCCGTCATGCAACGTGAGAAGAAAGCACCACAGTTTCTCGCCGATTTGGTCATGATGGACATACACAGAATAGGTGAGACGCGATTTTCCTTTAAATTGTGCACTGTGATATTGATGACAAGCTGCACTTCAACTTTATTTTTAACGTAAATACCTATACTTTGCATCTTGGATAAGCGTCACAGTTCATTAAAAAATCACCGTTTATTGACTCTTGAAGATTCGTCACTCCATGAACGGGAAAATATCGGATTTCAGATGACGAGAGGCTCACGTTTCGAGGGAATTCCTTGGCGACGAAGGCGATGGAGGCCTACCTGAAGTTGACGGGCGACAGGTACCTGCAGGAGACCTTGGGCGCGGTAGTGAGGGGCGCGGTGGAGGGTGGCGACTGCGAGGTAGATCCACTGAAGGTCGCCTCGGTGGCGGCTCTTCACAAGCAACAACAGAATCTGCGGAACGCCGTAGAACTCGCCTGGAGCAGAATACTCGCCAGCCACGCTCATTTTCCTCTCGAGTTGCGCGAGTGCTTCCGTATATTTCGCGAACGTCTCGCCGACATGGGCCGCGAGGATATTGCCAACAATCTGATCTCGGCGTCCATATTCCTGAGATTCCTCTGTCCAGCCATCTTGAGCCCGTCCCTCTTCAACATCACACACGGTGAGTTTGATATATTCATCCTTTAATTTTCTAAAGATAATATACAAGAAAACAGTTTTTATCTTTTAAGAGAAGAATTTTTGGATCAAAGATCTTTGCATTCTTTCACTCATCTTGCCCGTTATCTTTTATTTACAACATAATTTAATTTGTGCATATTTATTCTTTTGTTCAGAATATCCGAACGAAAAAGCGGCAAGGAATCTCACTCTCGTGGCAAAGACGCTTCAAACTTTAGCGAATTTCACAAGATTCCAGGGAAAGGAAAACTTTATGGAATTCATGAACGACCTCCTGGAACGTGAAGCTCCATCCATGAAGAATTTCCTTCAGTTGATTAGCGTAAGTAATGATTTTCTATCCCCCCTTCTCTATGTATAATTGGAAAATATTTAAAAATCGACCACCGCTAAAAAGAATTTTTTACAGAGCACACTACCGAAAGATGCGCCGGCGAACAATTCCTTAGAGTTCGATGGTTACATAGATCTCGGGAAGCAACTATCTCTACTGCACGCTCTCCTGCGCGAAAGTTTGGTCACGTTATCTTCGTGTTCTCCGTCGCTACCTCCGCCGAGGTTACAGGAAATTCTCGACAGGATCTCAATGGCTCTGGATCAGTCGGGTCCTAGCCCAGTGCCCGCACCTCATCGATATCCAAATCTGCAGAACAATATCTTCCGCTACAATGATCCGACGATCGCCAATAGTAACACCAATCTATCGATCTCGGCTACATCTACGTTGAGCAATCATAGCACTCTTAACGGGACGATTCGCGACAGCAACGAAGTGTTGCAATCGAATACATTGGGTCACAACAATTCTCGGAGTCCGAACGTAGCTAGGGCCGCAACTCTTCCTCGAAACGCATACATGCCGGCGAACGGGAAGCTTCAGTTGCAAATCACAACGGACGATTACCCTCTGGAGCCACCGGCGTTCGTTTCGCGTTCACCTACACCAATTGTGAGACAGCACAGGGCGATAGGATCGAACAGGACCGGCGCGGGATACAGATTAACCGCCAGTGCGAGTCTGGCAAACGTAAATCACTGCCAGACGCATCCGACCAGTCCCACGAGATCAGAAAGTCACAGCAATCTGAAGGATTCGAATTACAACATCACTTCATCGCAGAATCAGTCAAACAACTGCACGATTATGTCCCAGCAGCAGCAGCAGCAGCAAAACCATAGACACAACATAACGCGATTGCAGAACCTAGATATTCACGACAGGGAAGACAATTACAATCATAATAATTACAACGTATCACGATCAGCAAGTAGGAACCATTGCAATAAGGAAGAGAACGCGAACCAGATGCAGCATCAGAATTATAATAACGTATCGAAGACCACGGTGAACGCGAACGTTGTGAACCCATCGTCGAATCTGACGTTGTCCATCAACCATCAGCCGAACAACAATTACAACAGCAAAACGAATAGTACGGCAGCAAATGGCAATTTGGACGAATTGTCGGATCTTTTGAGGTACGCTGACGATGAGGTGTCGGAGTCGAAATCGCAAAAAGGATCGCAGATTTCGATTTCTCAGTTAAGTAATGTCGCGTCCTCGGGTTATCAGAGCTTCGCGGCTTACAGTCAAAGCTCCAGCCCGGTGGATCTCAGCAGCAACAACGCAAACACGCACATATTAAGCGCCGCGCCGTTGGCTTTTGCTAATCCGGTTTATCACATGGAATCAAACCACGGGAGGAACGGAAGGAGAGGTAGCAGCAGCTCGGAGGAACGAGATGGGAGCGGAGGCGGCGTTGAGGGCGTGAGAGGCGTTGATCTTAGCCCATCACCACCACCACCCCAGAACAACGTGAGGAACCTCCAGCGAAACACTCAAAATCAGTGGAGGCAAACCAACCAAACACACAGAAATAATTCGGAACAAAATCAGGATGTCTGCTACACGAAGCTGAGGCGGAGATTATCGTTGGACTCGACGCGAGATCTGTCAGACACCAGCGAGGAGGAGAGCTGCACAACGAGGAAGAGCAAATCTCGCAGTCATCGAAGCATCGATCAGGTAATTAATATATTCTTCCTATGACAACAATTTCTGATCCTTAGTTTCATCAGTGACGAATTAAAGAGCGCGTTTATGAAATCAATTTCCTAGTAGACTTATGAGAAATGCTTACAGTTATAAATTCAAATGCTAATAGAATCCATGACTATGACAGTGATGACAATCGTAAAATTAGATAAATGATTCAATTGAATTTATTCGTCATTCAGGGAACTAAGAACAAAATTCGTCACCAATTTTTCAGCAACGATGAGGGCAAAGGAACAACGACTTTTATTTACCAAATGAAAGAGGAACTCCGTGTGTACATAATAATATAATAATACGTGATAACGTTGATCGTTGTGAATAACAAGTTCCTCTTTTTTTTAATTTATCATGTGCGAGATAAAAACCGTATTTCTTTTTATATTCATGCTCTATCTCTTTTTCTGAGCTGTCGCCTAACGGTACTCATCTATTTGTTTATATGCCTGTGTGTTTGCATCTGTGTAACTAACCAACGTCGCAATGTCTCTTCGTTTCTAGTACGAAGTGGAAATCGAGAGGCTGCAGAGTAGCGTAGATCGACTGAGGGCACGCTTAGGCGCAACCGAGGATACCGATATAGACGGCATTGCACCGGATACCAAGATGAAGAGCATCATCTCCAGGTACTGAATTCCGCTCATTAACAAAGCCGACGGCCGCTTTAAATTCCTATTATCGACGATTGACTCGTTTGCCTGAGTGTGATATATCATCACCCCCTATTGACAAACTTTTAACCACTTCTTTCTTCTTGTTCGAGTTTCACTGGTACTCCCCTCCGGTTCTCATATTAATCAGTCACCGTCGACTCTCTGTTCCCTTCTCTCTTTCATCCCGTCCTCTTTATTAATTATTAACACTTCACGTCCGCGATTTTCTCTTTCACCTGAAGATACTGTCAATTCGCTTCCGACGGTTTCTTCGCCGAAACTCTCCGTAGATTTATTATCATTGACACGACTCTTTACGAGATCGTATAACACAATTTATGAAGTGAGAGACAGAGCTGACTATCATGTAGAAATAACAGTTCTCAGCGATCCTTTTTTTTTTAATTAACCAAAGAAATGCGCAATCAATTTCAAAATGCACTGAGAAAACTGTTATATTCATCCATTCAGCTCTGTCAATATTTCAAATTTGTATTATGAGTTATGTAAATAAAAATAAATAAAAGGAAAAATCGAGCCAAGCTAATAATGCGATTTACCTGTTTGTCGCATAGACATAATACAGAAAAGACTACCAGTGAGCCGCGTAGCTCGAAAACCAAAACACGGTTTTAATTGTTTCTCGAAAAATAATGTATGTTTAATTGATTGTGTGTTCCTGTGCATTCTATCCGCTGCATTTGGTATACTCTGGCTTGATCTGGACCTTGGTGTAAGAGTCAATTATATTTCTAAGCTTCTTACATATTTTTACATCACATGTTTTAGCGTTTTTTAATCTCATATCTATATATTTATATATATACATATATAGTTTTGTCCGTGCGAAACGACACGCGCCAAAACTCTAAGTACGTTTATAAGAAACAAGAACAATCTAATGTTTCTTTCGCCTAAGTTTATCATTATCATCATTGTATGTATTACTCTGAATACTCACCGTTCGATAAACCAGCATTCAACATCCTGCGTGTTTTATACTTACATCACCGTCCAAAAATACATTAATTTTAATCAGCAACATGGTCTCATTCTATTTCCACGTACTTCACTTCACCATCCTCGATTTTAATGCAACACCACGACAGCCACACACACGCCTCTCGAATCTCACACACACGTTCGTTCTGTTCACGTGTGCACGGTTCATTCTTTTCGGAATTCTCATTATCTCTTGATACCAGGTCTGCGTAGTGTGTTGCAATTATTTGCGATATGTATGCATCTGCGAAATGTTCAGGATATATTTTTTTTTCTTTTCATTCAATGTTAGACCTTCATTAATGCGAAAAGTATTTTTTATAGAACGCAAACACTTAGTTAGAAATGAATTATTTTTGCCGCGTCAAGTATTCATGTACTATGTTAATGCAAAGATAACTTAATGTAAGAAGTAGAGTTTACTTTAAGAATAGGTGGTAATATACATTTTTGTATGAATTAGATGTAATTTTGTACGACGGTCGTAAATTCGCTTGAGGAGCACACATAAATTTTTTCACATTTTTTCGAAGCACTATCTACTACTAATAATAGCATAATAATAAATACTAATATTCTCTCTCTATTAGTAATCCTGAACGTTTCTTTTATGACACGGATATGATGGTGGTCAATCGCAAAGCAGATTCGCCTTTTGCTTACTTAATCAAGATGAAATGTTCCCTAAATATCCTAACTGCATTCTTGATAGTATTTTTTTCGTTGTTCGAGCGTACGATGTTTTGCACCAGAAGACACTACCGCTTCCTTTCACTTTCATTTCCAAAGTACATATACTTACATTGATGTTTTTTTATCTGCATCGTGGTGTGCTTGGATCCTTTCAAGCTTCCCAGTGAATACTCTCCTGAAAACAAAGATAATAAACTGGTACACAAAATTATCTTAATCAGCAAGAACAATTATCGTTCCATACAAAAATTGGTTCATTATATTATAAGAAACGATAAAATTTTGCCAGTAATCGACTGTAAAGATAGGAGTTTCAAAATTAAATCGTAGAGAGGATTGACAGGGAAAGCTGAAATTCCATGTGTAATGAAAGCCACCTAATCTCTGTCTCTTAAAAAACTAATTTAATTACAAAGTTCAGTATGAAACGGCCAATTTTGTGAAATTATTAGATAAATATTTAACACAAAGGAACATAGAAATTGTACGATAAGGAGATAAAGATTAGTAAGTGGTTTAAAAAGTTTCAGTAAAACGAGATATCTTTAAGGAAAGTCCTGCGTGAACGGAATTCGCTAAAACGAGTATCATTCGATTATTCTAGGTTGATCTCTGTGGAGGAGGAACTGCGACGCGAACAGCAGAAGATGTCGGCCGCGTTGTCGTACAAGCAGCGCGTGATCGACGCGCAGGAGCAGCAAATAGCCGCACTGGACGCCGCGAATTCGCGTCTAATGACGTCAAACACAAGACTGTTGTCCGCATTGAGCACCCTGAAGCAACGGTACAACGCGAAGTCGAACCAGTCGAGCAGCGAAGCGGCCGCGTTGCTACAGAACATCGCTGATATCGGCGAACTGAAAAGCTCGTCCTGTTAAGAGACTCGCCATTATCGCCAGTTTTATAATTTCCGCTCGTAAACCATGCAGGAACATTCAGTGAACCGACATATAATTATTAACGACATCAGTTTGAAGCTGTTCTTGTTAGAAGATCACCTGGCAATTTCCCAGTTTCCGCTTAAAGATCACGCTGAAATTATAAACGCTAGATGAAGAGTATTAGTATGTAATGCGGACGGCTTTATCTGTTGAAACACCACTTGGACATCCTCACCATCCTCTCATTTCCGGTCGAAGATTACGCATCAAGTAATCTAGCGTAGTAAGTCGCGGATTTAAACGGAAAAACGAAAAATTGTCGGGTTTGATAAATTCTAAATTCAGCTGAAGTCTGCCGAAATTAATCAGTCTCGAGGTGGAGACATTTCGCGTTTAAGATGCTTCAGGATAGCGGAAAAAGTAGCATCAGTTCGGGTTCCTGATCTAGGATTTCGGATCTCCTTGCTGTTTCTTCGCTTGGCAACGTATGTTTGAAGGAGACACGAGAAACGAGTTTCACGAAGAGATAACACTCGCTAGATTTGACGAACGTAGGCGGAGTGGAAGAAATATACAAGTGAAGTAAAAACGAAGGGGAGAGTGAGTGAGTGAAAGATGTACGAAAATAGAGGCTACCTAGTACAGTAGTGGGTACTACTGTAAATAGGCAAACGGTTTAAGTAGATAATTTATGTCGAGTTTAATCGTGACACATAGCGTTTAGAATTAATTTGTATCGATCGGGTTTGATCTGGCGAGGTCTCGCGTCACGATCCACTCGAATCTCTAATTTGTGTCGCTTCTAAAAAAGTCCACGTGTTTCTGTTTGCAACTGCTAGCCGAGTAAAATCAAGTGACTTCGTTCTTCGTTGAACGCGAATGAGCTGGAAAGTCACAGTCGTTAAAAATGAAGGGATATGAATTTCTCGATGATTTCATCAAGAATTATTCGAGTCGATCAACTCCTCTTCGAATGAAAACGGACAAACGAGAGACAAACGGAAGCAAGATAGTGAGCGATGCCTGTCTCTTCCTTTGTTCCAATTTCTTTAGCGTTTTTTCTCTTTTCCGTTGTCCGTTCCAGCATCGTCGTGTATTATACATGTACCTTTTGATGCACAGCCGCATGCACCGTAAGATTAGTATAATAGTAATGCGGAAAGTTACGTCGTGTATTAAATTTTGATGCGTCCTCCTGCGGCATCCAGATACAAGCGTATTATATACGCTTCAGGTTATTAGACAAATGTTTTATGAGCAACAGTTCTGAAATCATTTCACTTTGATACAGTATTGTTTTTTAACCGCCCACCGCATGTAATATACTAAGTATATATTATGAAGTTGCGGTACTCCCAAAAACTTCGTATTAAATCTCTACGGCAGAATTAAAAAAATTAATACATTATTCAGGATTAATCTGAAAAACTGATACGCTAACGCTTATGAAACTAAAGACTAGTAAAACGGGTTTAAAGTTCTGAAATCAGTAAATAAATTGATAAAATGTAATCACAAGAAAATTTCGAGGCAAAAATATAGAAAGTATAAAGATCTTATTCATATTAAAGTGCCAAAACGAAACAAATGAAAAGAAAGTTAATAATAAAAAATGATTTTAGATTAATAATCAGTATAGATGAGATAATATTAAATACAAGAATATACAGTAGATATTTAAAAATCTATTCGTTTTATAAGGAACCGCGCTCGGAGAAAGAATTTCGCATTCTTATTAACAATTCGTACTCGACGAATATAAGAACAATTTTATTATAAACTTAGTTTTTCTTCTAGACATGTGTTCACACTATTGAAACTTGTACGTAGGTATGAGCATTTTTAATTAAATATACACATTTCACCGCAACAATTTTTGTACGTCTATATTTGAAATAGCTTCTATCGATGCAACGCATGCGTCAGTAAATAGCATTAATACTTACACAATTTCGACTGAGTATTCATAACGATTCTATCGTCTTTTATACGATTTTTGCAATTTTTAAACAATTTCTAATCAAGTATTATACGCATATTTGCAATCACTATATTAAAGAGATATGATTTCAGAACCCGCACTAACAAAAGATTCGTGAACTAATCTGCAAGCGCAGAAAATACACTTGACAAGGCACACGGCGTATTTTTCGACGACGTAACATCCTCAAGCACTGAAACGTACTTCATGACCTTTGTACAATGCATGTATATTTTTCTAGTTTACCTCGCGCGCTGCGTTTAAGTAGAAAAGAAAAAGAAAAAAACGCGCATATTTCTGTATAGTGTTCGTGTTTATTTAAAAAATCTAACGACGAGTGTTATCGCACGCGTCAGAACGAAGCGATGAAGAGGTGATTAATTAGTTGTATGAAGAAATAAGATTGAGCAGAAAAAGAAAGAATGTTCACTGTCACGCTTCGTGAAAGCTTCTTACGCATTCGAGCGGAACACCAATTTCTTATAGTATAAGCGACAATATTATAATTTATTTAGTAGTTTCTACCAAAGATGAAGAGAGGTTTCTGATTGTAAAAAAAGAGAGAGAGAGAGAGAACATCACGAATAGTTTAATTGTAAGATATTTTTCGTTTCTCCGCTGCCGTTGTTGTGCGTCGCTCGATACGCTAAAATTAATCGAGTTTAAGAAAAGAGAAAAGTTCATTGCGATTATAAAAGAGTCTTCTACTTCCTCATGGAAGGGAAGTTTCCCTTTGGATGCACCCGACGTCTTTCTCTCGTATCGATTGTACGTACGCGTTTCCCTTTTTTGAAAAATATAAATTTCTGCACAGCGCAAGGCGTCCTGCATGACAATTAGACGGTCTGATTTATTCGCGACAAGCGTTATTAATTATTACGTTTTTACATCACAAATAATTATATATAAATATATAAATATAATTATCATCGTAGCCGTTGTGTAGCGAAATACACGTGTGCTAGTGTCGAAAGAAGAGAACATGTATGAAAAAAATGAATTGTATGCATGCGTCCGTTGCGAAATACGTGTGTGCGTGAATGAAAAAATGGATGACGATTCAATCTAATCTCATTATAAAGAAAAGAAGTATTATCTCATCGACTTGTATCATAGCTCCATCGTCGAGCGTTCGTAAGAACGTTTTTTTATTTCTCTCGCTTTTTGCCGATTATTTTTGTATAGAGATACTTATCTATATTTTCTTCCCCGATTTGTTCTGCGTCTATTCTTCCTCTTGTGTATCCCCCATTTTTTTTTATACTTTCTTTAACGCGATTACTTTACAATCCTTAAAGCTATTGCCGAATCATTGTTTAAATCAGTGTTGACACAGCAAAATTAATGTATTTAACGAACTTCCCTTCCCCTCTTGTTGGACAATGTATAATCGACGACCGATTAAAATTGAATCTATTTAAATGCGACTCTGAATAGCGTGTACATTGCTAAGTTCTTTGATATATTCGTTTCTGCAATACATCAATCTGTATTTAAGCGTATAGCGTTTATTAGTAACAGTACATGAGCAAATAAATATGATTAGACATATCTCACGACTATTTAATATACTCCAATAGTTTTATGTTTAATACTTTATTATCTATAGTCCAATAATTTTTCAGAATCGAAGATTATGCTGTTCTTTAAGAATCTCAGTAATTCAAGTTTGAAAGAATCATTGTATTATTATATATTAAAATGTTGACCGCACAAAAATTAGATACTTTGATACATAAATAAGAGTGATAAAATGAACATAGAAGCTGTTATTATTTAGGCATTGCAAATATAATGAAAGATTTAGAAATTTTAATTACGAAAACTGAAAGAAAATATTAAATGCCTTTACTATTTGCTAAATTTTTCCTCACTGAGTGCTAACTGCTTTGGCACTGATAAGGGGCAACAACTGTATAAATGTTGACTGCCCACAGCCCTCAATCAGCGGAATGCCATTGTGAAGAAAAATAAAAGATGATTAAAATTAAACTGTGGGAGAAGCAGTGCAGTATAGAAGTCAGGCCGACCGGGGTCAAATTTTTAATATTGCATTTTACCAATTTTCCGAAAAAAACACATTAAAAAAATTGTCAGAAGACAAGAGTAACAGTGTTGCACATAAGAGTGCAGATAACAGTGTTGACGACTGAGAAATATGAATAACATGAATCTCATGTAATATATGAATTAATAATTTCATCATCTGTTAAATAAATTAGCAAGTTTGATTGTCTACCTTTTAAATACGTCATGAATCCACCTACAGAAAGAATTCAATTAAAAATAGAATGGTAATTAATAAAATGCGTCGGAGTTGCAACAATAACTGCGAAGTTGAAAATGCTAAATCATCAATTCGTTGGATTGCGATGAATGAATAAAATAACGCGTCCCGTATCGAAGCAGCATGTCGTCTACATCGAAGCAGACAATACGAATAAATTACTAAGTATGCAAGCAGATTTTCATTGATTCAGCACTTGTACTATTGTTAAAGCGGGCAACGATACAATCTTTAATTGATCAGTATTCATCAAGGATCTACTTCAAGGCATAACTACATAAGTAATGATCGCGCGGGTTGCATAAACTTGTCATTATAAATGCTGGATGGATACAGATTTCTAGATTATCGGATAAAGTCGTTCATTAAATCTCCATACCCACGTACGTAATATATACGTAAATCGAAATAATAAATATGCTGCAAATTTTTTCGCGTAAAAGTAGGACACGTCTTCTGTGCTACTTTTACGAAGTACGTTCTTGCCAGTTTTTTCCTTAATGTTTCTTTTGTTTGTACAGTCGCCCTTACCTTGAATTAAATTAAACGTTCAAAGATCAATCGTAGTTTACGTATTCCATCTTCTCATTAACCATGAACTAAACGATTCATCGATTACAGAATTAATGGTTGAGGATATAAACAAAAATGAACTTGGCAGTGTCGATAATATTCTAAATGAGGGTCGTCATGATCCAAATAGCGTAAAGCAGCGAAGAAAGTGCAATCAGCGAGGATAAAAAAGACTAGATTTAGATCAAGGGGAGATCCACACGACAGTCGAATGGGCCAAGGAAACGCGTAAAAATTGACGCGATGGAAACGAGAGAAAGGCACAGTCGTATAAACAAGAAAAAAGTGACGAGGAAGGAAAAAAGGAGAGGTCTTCGAGGCAACTATCATAAATGGTTAAAGACTTCTGACAGATTTACGAGCACGTGACTCTTGTCCCCTCTCTCACGGTTCGCCACTCGTCGAATTAATCCTGTTGATCACTCACTTTCGCGTTTTCTCCCTTTCTCTTTTTCTCTAAGCTCCTTTTGTGTGACCGCGCCCATTGCTTTCTTCCAAATCACTATAACTTTACAGTTCAAGTTTTTTTCTTATAAAGAAATATACAGCGTAGTCACGATTCAACAAAAATTAATATAAACCTGCACGCGATCATTGATAATTGCAAAAAAAAAGATGTCGAATCTTTATCTATGAAATAATTTTCAGGGTACTAGTAATTATTCAGATTTATTAAAATATATGTTACATAACGAGGATTGATATGCTTACGCCCATTCATTAGCGAATCGCAGTGATCTCATTTAACAATACTAGAAAATTAAATTTATTTCTGATTTTATCTGCATTCATTTGTAGAATTAATCACAACAGCAAGATCAACAGGTCCAGCATGAAGATTACATTTATGCGCAAGTATTACTCATTGTCAGAGTGTACATAATAGGTGCTAGGCATTATACGTACAGTGATTACATAAATAAAATCAAACAAATCTGTTCCAGACATTTTTCCGTTCTGTAGTCGTTTCGCGATTTCATGAACCTCTCGCGGGTACCCCGAGAAAGTGACTTAAGAAGGCGTCGGGAAAGATAATGTGAATACAGCGAAACAAGCGCGATAAGCGCAACGAAACGAGATAGCGTCGTCGCAGCCAGCGTACGATATCTCAAAGTCAATGTCCTATGAAGGACTGACTCGCCGGTTGTACAGTTGTACATAACTCTGAACGAACCGTGTACAATATACAGTTTTCTGATTACGGGCCCGAGACCGCATTGCTGCCGCTACTGCATTTCCTTTGCATACGTTTTCTTTTTCTATTCGCTGCGACATAGATGGCATCTCCATTTTACAGAGACATCAATGCCTGAAACGTGAATATTTTTCTCTTGTTGAAAGATCTGCAGACGTGCCGCTATCAATCTTTAGATTGCGATTTCACAATGTTTGTTACGTGATACTGCTGTCTTTAATCTGATCATACAATAATATTGTTTACATACTTCTCGGAAGGGGAACAATATAATTTAGTTCATAAATCAGGGGACAGGTTTGCTACGTAATTTTACTTTTCTAAATATAAACGTTCTTAAAATCAATAAAAAATCAATTAATCAAACGCGATGAACCCAACTAATTCAGTATCATGCACATTTAGCTTATCTATTATGTATACGGTACATCAGTTCACTTTGACGTTGAAACACCTGGCGATCGCACAATATTTTCCTAATGCAAATGAAGTTTTCGTTAGATACATTCTACGCGGTGCTCACGATGAACACGAAACTCCCCGAGCTACGATAAAAACTTGGCTATCTAGAAACGTGATAAGAACAACGAAATCTGACTCTGACCTTAAACTTCATGCGACGCCACGCGTAAATCTTGTAGAGCGACTGTCACGGTTATTAAAGCTTATTTTTCTTTATTATCGTTACAACGTTAGAACCTTGCTACTTGAACTAAATTTCATACGATAATGTTGTTATGAACCTTTTTACAGATTGTATTCAATAATTGTAATGTATGAACGTTTGATAATTTTATCGATCATTTCTGAAGATATCTACATGTTTAAAATAATGTATTTGGACAAAAGTATATCTTTCGTATTTATTTCAGATGTAGCATTATTAGATATATAAGATAGACATGAATTTGGAGTAAAATACATTATTATTGTAGTATATAATACATAATGTATTTAAATTCATAGGCGTCTTCGTTATTTCTGATGTTTCTACTTACAATATTTCACTCTTTTTAATCACACAACAATAATTATTTTTATTCAATATTCACAATTATAAAAATATACAAAAAGTAATTTATACACCTGTTATGTAATGTATAAAATTCCAAACTGTTCTCTCTTAAATTAGTAACATTCATGGAATTAAATTAGCCCACTCTTTCTTCAAATGAATGTTTGTTAAATGAGTTTTAATAGCAACGCCCTTGGTAACCCGCAGTATTATAGAACAAACGTAGAATTATGAAACCTCAAAATACACGGTTACAAAGATAAAATTTCTTTGATCTGTAAACAAGTATCTCACTATACTTTTAGTACGGAATTAACGAAGTTCTGTCAATAACGCAATTTAAGTCTTGTAAGTACATCGCATTGGCAATACTTCTTATGTTTAATTTATTAATCTAATTAATTTTTTAATTTAAGGAGCAAGAAGACTAATAATCTTGATACTTTATAAATCACTAAATATTGAGTATAAGTACATGTAAAACTACGTGTAACACAGATGTCAACTTTTGAATGCTCCGTTTATGTTCAAATAATACTTTACTTTAAACATCAGAAATGTTTTAAATTATGGAAACTTGATATATGCACAACAGGTAACGAGAATGAGCTTCTGGTTTGTTTTTAAATTACACTTTCCGTGGATCTAATCTTAAATCTTCCATCGAAACAGCCGGCATAGGAAACGTACGAGCTAATGTATAATAACAAGCAAGGGCCTATTAAGAGAATTCAAGTGGTCGATAACAGCAAGTAATGAGAGGCTAATCTATCAAGGGCGCCCGATAGTGAAAATCTGACCCTGAATAGTCAGTGCCGCTTGCTTAAAAGTCCGCGAGATACATATCAGTAGAGCATCATGAAGTTTGATCGGACAATGAACGCGAAGATTGGCCAAATTGAAACGAGATCAAAATTGTGTTTCAGAAAGATGTTAAGTAATGTTATAACCGAATTTCATGATACGTAAAATAAGAAATTCAACAAATCTCTATCATATAAATAAATGTACCATTTAAATGTCTGACATTTATTTTTACTGAATATTAAAGGAAAACAATGTTATGATACCTTGTCTTAAAATTTTTAGTTAGTTCATTTTCTCATGGACAAATGAATTCGATTATTCATTTTAAGGATGATGCTCGATCACCAATTGTTTATTGGTCATAGAAAAAATAATAAATTTAAGGCACGAATGGGTATGTCGGTTGGGGTTAAAAAGCCAGGCTAAGGGACGAGAAACCAATGACGGCTGCCACGAAAACTCGCATTTTCTATCAAGTCAATCTGACATGAGCGAAGGCATTGACAAGCGCGTGACATTCATTCTGCGAGTGGCGAGTAGTGCGAGGTTCCACCCCCTCATTTCCACGCACAACGAATCTGACCCTGGCTCGTATCCTATTACCGCCGGAATCGGTCATCACTGACCCTCCCCTTTCTTCGACCCATACTCCCTTGTTTTTCTCTTCCTTTTTT